GAGCCCTGGGCTCTGTGTGAGTGGGAAAGTCAGTGCCCTGGTCGGATGAAGTCATTCCCTGCGAGCTGAAGCCAGCTTTTCCCGGTATGAACTGTGTTCCAAAATTTGGGTTCCTGTTTTCTGTTGGATTCTACCCTGCCTTCCTTTCAAGGCCCCTAGATTATATTATAGCAGGATTTGGGGGGGGTGTCAGCGGTTATTCAAAACTTGTATTTACTGGGGGCAACCACGTGCATGCGTTACAAACGGTGGGGTAATGGATACAGTGGACTAGGTAGGGTTCAGCATTGATTTCAACCTCAGTCCTAGTGTGTCTTCCTGGTTCGCAAAGGTAGAACACCTGAAAACTACATTACCCAGAAGTCCCTGTAGTTAGGGTTCTGTATGCAGGTTGGCTCAGGCAATGAGACTGACTCAGGATTTAGGAAGCAGAAGTGAGGCAGAACTTTTGACTGTTGCTTCTGGCTGGAGAGGCCACCCCTGATCACCTCTGTTGGTTTCTGTGAGTGTGGGTTTTCAGCAAACTTCCGGTGTCCGATCATTAGCTTTGTGAGTGTAAAGGGGCAGGGGTGGTGAGGTCAGGGTCTTTCTGACTTTGTTACTCTGCAGTGGTATGTTGGGGTTCCAGTGAATTGGTTGTTTTTGGATACCCTGCTTGTTGCTTGCTTGATTAGGTAGAGATTACAGCTTCCTGGTGGGCCAGACACAAATCTTTGTTCCCCTGCCCTTCGTACATGTATTTCTCCCATTCTCTTCCCCTTGTCAGAATTCACCCTTCTGCTTAAAATAAACACCAGGAATCCAAAAGAAGCCCCCCCCCCAACAACTTTTCTGCATCTCATCAGCGCTCAGGGCCTTCACTCTGAGCTATATCCCCCTCCATTCTTTTTACCTGTTTTTTTGTTTTGTTTTGTTTTGGGTTTTTTTTTTGTTTTTTTTTTTTTTTTTTTTTTTTTTTTTTTTTTTTTAAATTTTTTTTTTTTTTTTTTTGAGATAGGATCTCTCTGTAGTACAGGTTGGCCTTAAACTTCTTATGTAGCCCATGCTGGCCTCCAACTCATGACAGTCCTCCTGCCTCAGCCTCCCAAGTGCTGGGATTACAGGCATGCACCCCCACCCGGCTACTTTCTATTTTGAGATACAGTCTGGGTAAATTGCTACATTGCCAAGGCTTGGCTCAAGCTGGGAGTACATGTCTGTGCAACCACACCCAACGTGGAGTTATTTTGATTCTTCAATCTCTTAAATCCCCCACATTCAATCCATTTGCAAGTCCTGTTGAGAATTTGCATCTGATGTATAACCCAAACTGGCACCTTCTCTTTAGCTCCACTCTTAACACCTTGGTCCAAGCCACCATTATATTTCTCCTTAGCATTGGTATTTCTTCTTGACTAGTTTCCCTGCTTCCTATCTTGCTCCTTGTTAAGTGGTTTTTCAGTTGCAGAATTAAAACCATCATACAAATAATTTATCACCTCAATGAAAATCCTTAAGTGGCTTCCTAAGGCATTTAGAATCCAAATCCTTACAGAAGTTCAAGATCTGAGCTATGCTCTACTACGCCTCCTCTGGTCATTCTAAACTTCTTGCAGATTACATTGTAGGCCCTTTGAGAAGGGTTCCAGAACTAGCCATCCACCCCTTTTTCTTCTGATATTGAGAATTGAACCCAGGACCTTTGCACTGAACTATGTCCCCATTCCTTTTTATTTTTTATCTTGAGACAGTATCTCAATAAGATGCCCTGGCTGGGCTTGAATTTTCGATCCCTCTGCCTCAGTCTCACAGAGTGCTGGCACTGCAAGTGTGTGTCACCGTGCCTGACTGGGTTCTCTCTTTAAATGCCCCTTATTCATGGGAATACATTCCAAGGTCCCCACTGGATGTCTAAAACTGCAGGCAGTACCAAACAATGTACTATGTTTTCCCTGTATGTACCCGTGATAAAGGTTAATTTATAAAGTAGGCATGGTAAGAGATTAACAATGGGTAATATTAAAATAAAATGACTATACCAATATACAATTATAAAAGTTACTTGTAAATTGTTTATTTGTGTAATTTTCCACTTAATATTTTGGACCATGGTTTCTGAAACCTAGGATAAATAATATACTTAATGGAAAATTGCAGGGGCTAGGAATGCAACCCCTAGACTATTGTCCTTCCCCCCACAGTCAGCAGCCACTGGGGCTGTGGAAGGCAGGGATGAGATCTTTCAGAACCCTTGTTCATCCACTTCTTTGCCAAGTCTTTCAACCTTCTCAGGCCCATGTTTCTCTGGCTACTCTACCTACTCTGCTGTGTGTGCAAGAGCTGCCCATTGGGTAGCTACCTCTACCTATCACAGCATCAGTGGGGGCACCTAATACCCGAGCCTGCCCAAGAGTCAGGTGGAGTCTCCTCTGTGATACTCAAAGAAAGCCTCACAAACTCTTTTGTGTTAAAGGTTTGGTTGCTACTCACTGGGTGAGAATGTTAAAAAGTTGTGAAGTTCTTGGAGCTGTGGTCACTCCTAAGTCCTGCTGAAAGAAACCATTGTAAAGGAAGGGATCCCAGTGGTTGTCCTTGAGGCACAGGTGGGGCTTTGTGTACCCTTTGCTCTCCTAGGAAAGTAAACAACAGCTGAGGGCCACTCCAGGCCTCTCCTGGTACCTCTGTAAAGTACTGGGATCCTTTCCTCTAATGCTCTTTCTTCCTAAGGTCCCCGATTCTCTGAGTGCTATGTCTGTGCCTGTGCTCACTGAACATCCTTGAAGTTATGCTGAAGGCCCTGGGTTTGGGCTTCCACTTCAGAATCCCCTCAAGTCCTGCTACATGAAGCAGAGCCTGACAGTGGGTTGCTCTTAGTACTTCCTGTGCGTATCTTCTGCATACAATGACTGTAGAAGGATTGCCCAACTTCTACAGAGCATAGATGGGCAGGGGGTGTTTGGATTACCTGGGCCCAGGCCCCCAGGTTTAAAGTTTCTGAGACATCTGATAAGCTTGGGCGCCCCCCTGTGGTTCTGCCTGGGGAGGGAGCGCAGAGTGGTAGCGGAACCTCCCCTCATGCCTTGTTCCCCAAAGCATGGTCTGGCCTGCAGACATGTGGGCAGCCAGCCCAGACCTACCATATCAGAACTTTCACTGATTTTGTTTTTTGTTTTTACTCAGGCCTTCACATCCCCAAGCCTTTTTGTTTTTCTATCTTCTATTTTATATTTTAAGACAGGATTTCCCTTACTTGCTGAGTTGCCCAGGCTAGGCTTGAACTTTGGATTTTCCTGCCTTAGCTTCCCAGAGTGCTGGGATTACAAGCATTTACCACTACAGTTGGCTTCAGAATTGGGAATCTTAGCAAGATCTGCATACTGGAGTTTGAAGGGCACTGCCCTGGGAGCCCCCAAGATGAACCTAAACACTCTTCTTACCCCAAGAGGCAAAGGCCACACAGCTTCTAGGCAGAGCTGATGCTGCTGAGGGGCTCTAGAGACAGCATAGCCCACACACCATTTCCATATCCTAGTGCTTCTACCCAAGGTACATTTTCTGCCGCTGGTGCAGTGGTATCATGCAAGATTCCCGAGACGCATTTTCCCATGTTAACATTTATGATTCTCCTCTGGGCTTTGGGTGAACCTGAAGTGGGGTGACTCAGTCCCCAGAGCCATCCACTTTTCTTTATGGGCTGTTTCAGCCCAGCCCTCGGCACACAGAGCAGAAAGCTCGAGTTGTGCATAGCTCTGCTGGCCTCACCAGGGCAAGAGAATCCCTGTGGTAGAGGAAATGGGCCTGGTTATATAAGCACCCTTGATGGGATTGACCCCAGGAGTGTTGCTCTAATTCAGCCCTGTACCTCTCTCTGGGCTCTTCAAGGCATCTGACACTGAGGTGAATATCTTTTTTTTTTTGGATTCTGGGGATTGAACTCAGGACCTTGCACTTGCGAAGTGGGCAGCAGAACCACTGTGCTAAATCCCTGGCCCTGAGGTGCATTTCTGTGAGGAGCTTGGCTTTCCCCAAAGCAGTGTACCTTCTTGCATGGAGTCTGGACTCTGTTTAAGGCAAACGCTAGCAAAACATTGCATTAGGCATCAGGAGCCCTGGGCTTTACTTCCTTCGCTCCCTGCGCCCTGCTCCCCCAGCCGTGTGATCTCAGACAAGTTGCAAGCAGGTGTGTTCCTGTCTGCCCTGCCTTTTGTCAAGGGATGGTGTGGCTATGAAAGGGTAGATCCGAACCCAGCCTTGTGGAACAGGCCAAAAGATCAAGCCCAACGCATGAATTTTACAAGCAACTAAAACCATTACAGGCTCATCTGAATTAACAAGCTCCTTTGAGAATGCAAATATCAATATATTGTTAACTCTCCGAATTTTTTACTCTGAATTCCTTACAGCACTAGTTCTTTTCTGAATGTTTATTTCATTTTTTAGAAAGAGTAGTCTATGAATATTTTAATAACATTTGAACAATATTTTTGATATTTGAACCTAACACTCTGTTTTGATATTTTTAAAAAAGATGTAGCCCAGGCTGGGCAATTTAGCAACTTAGCAAGACCCTATTTCAAAATATAAAAATTGTAGAAAGGCTGGAATGTAGCTTAGTTTGAAAGCCCTCCGTTCAATCCCTAGTATGGTGTGTGTGTGTGTGTGTGTGTGTGTGTGTGTGTGTGCGCGCGCATGTGCACACACATGCAGAGGTGGGAGTGGATCTGGAAGCCTTGGGAACTATGAGTTTACTATAATTTAAGTCAAATTCTAGAAGAGCCAGGTGTGATAGTGCATGCCTGTAATTTAAGCACTCTGGGAGGCTGAGGCAGGGAGATTGCAAGTTTGAGCTCAGCCTGAGCAATTTAGTGGCTTAGCAAGACCCTGTTTCACAGTATAAAAAAATTTTTTTGAGGAGGGTACAGAACTCAGAGCCTTGAGCTTGCAATGCAGGCATGGTGCCGCTGGTACCTTGCCTTCAAAATAAAAAAATTTAAAAGGCTAGAGATGTAGGTCAGTGTGAAGATCCTAGGTTCAATCCCTGGTCAGAAATAAAAAGAGAAAGAAAAAAAGAATCCAAAGGATCCTAAGAGTCCTTCTGATGCTCAGGAGGGCTGGAAAGGCCAAATCTAACCGTTGAGTGACATTGGGGAGCAAGTCGCTTCTCCAGAGGGCATGTTTGGGTTTTCGACTCTGTGCCGTCGTGGGTGTGGAGTGGCCCACACAGTGGAACAGGTGCACCTGTGCATGTGTGAAATGGTGTTGGGCCAGGTGCACGCAAGTGAAGTCCCCTGTGTTTCTGTGTGCGGTGCCATGCGTTTGGCTGAGTTCTTAACTAAGTTTGGTGGCTTTGAAGGAGTCCCTCAGACTTTCCGTAGCCTGAATTTCCTCCCTTTTTCAGTTAGTAAGTTTTAGTGGTTGAGTCCTAAGTTCTCTTCCAGCCCTGCCGTGCTCAGTCCCCAACATGAGCCTGGGGACTTCTACTAGTTTTACTGTCTAATTTGGTTTCTATGTCTCTTTCCTGTGGGCCACTCCACACATCAGCTTCTATGACTGAGTTGTCACTGAGGAGCTGGAATTTGGCTTTTTTGAAATAGTGTGTTACTCACTGGAAATGCAGGAAGCTTGAGCATGCAACTCACTCTTAAAAAAAAAAAAAAACAGCAAGAAACCACAGGCCCTATCTGCCTGTCGTCATCAAGCAGACTAGAATAGTGCAGAAAACCCTAGGCAGAGAGGAAATGAACTTGAGAGAAGGAGGAACGCAGGCAGAGAAGAGAGAAGAGAGGAGGGCGGGAGCCACCGCAGAAGAGAGCTGGAGGCTGGACGGCGATGGTCAGGATGGAGGAGGTGGCCGTGAAGCAGGGCCTTCTGCATCTCCAGCAGCAGCAGACTTTTGGCAAGGTGAGAGCCAGCTGGAGCCCCTTCACGAGTTGCTAGAAATTCCCAGGGTGGAGGGGAGCCTGGTGGCCCAGCCCTTGTGGGGCCGTCCTGTCCACTTAGATGAGAAGTCATCTTAGATGAGAAGGGCGGGTTCCTTTCTTACTGATGCTTGTGTCCCAAGCCAGGCCTCAAAGCAGTCTCCAAACTGTGTGCTTTGCTGAGAGCTCTTTGTCCCCGGGCGGGGGTGGGAGAGGAAGGAGGGTGCTGACTTGATCCTTCGCTCTGTGCTGACTTCCCTGCGGACAATGTGGAAGGGAACGGAGGTAAGAGTTGGGGGATACAGAGGAGATTTCTTCCCCACATCACACCCGGGCAGGGAAGGTTTTGGCTGGGGTTAAGCTGGGGCCCCAGGACGTCCCACCTCCTTTTGCCCTGGCCTGTCTGAAAGAGGAAGTCCTCTTCCTTCGCTGACCTGCACCCGGGCAGCCCCTCACTCCCTGCTCATGGCTCAATCTGTCAAGTGGTGAAGCGGAAGGGTGCTCAGGAGGGTGGAGGGAAGTTCCTGGGGCTGGGCCTCCCCCAGACCTTTCCACAGAGAAGATGATGTCTCTGGGCTGGGCAGCATCCCGCCTGTCTTCCTGTAGTCTGCATCCTCTGGCAGCATCCCTGTGCTTCTCAGTGCCCTGGGTAATCTGCTGGCCTTACAGGCCTCCTCCTTGGTGGAACCAGGCTCATCTCCAGCTTTCTAATTCCTGTGGTCCCTGTGTCAGCTCTGCCTCCTGCCATCCTGCAGTCATTTCCCCTCTCCCCCCACCCCTACATTGCCACCCCAGTGCCTCTCTGATGACCCCTTTTCTCCCCTGTGGTCACCGTCTCTCCATCTCTGGATGGACCCCTTTTGGCTCCCACTCCTCCATCTGGCTCAGAAGTGGCGCCGGTTCTCAGCTGTGCTGTATGGGGAGTCCGGCTGCGCCCTGGCCCGGCTGGAACTCCATGAAGGCCCGGAGAAGTTGCGCCGAGGAGAGCCTGCCCGGAAGGTCATCCGCCTCAGTGACTGCCTGCGGGTGGCTGAAGCGGGTGGGGAGGCCAGCATCCCCCGGGACACCAGTGCCTTTGTCATGGAGACCAAGGAGCGCCTGTACCTGCTGGCAGCACCCAGTGCAGAGCGGGATGACTGGATGCAGGCCATCTGCCTCCTGGCCTTCCCTGTGAGTCACCCCAGGGTGCAGACACGGTGGCAGCATGCAGGGGACGAGTGTTAGGTACTTCCTGTGGGCAAGTGGTGGGAGAGCCAAGATCAGGATGCCAGGGCGCTTCCTTGGTGGGGGACCCCAATCCAGAGGGCGGACAGGACCAGTGGGCGCCTTGCGATGGGTGCTGATGGTGAGACCTGGACCTCCTCCCTAGGGGCAGCGGAAGGAGTCCTTGGGGCCAGGGGAGAAGGGTGGCTGGCCCCACATGGAGGAGAACGAACTGTATGGCAGCTCTGCCACAGGTGAGTCGGGAGCTGTGGGTGCCATGTGGGTGGGAGGAGGTGTGGAGCTGCCCACCAAGTCTTCCTGCTTGTGGTTGTCTCTTGCCAGCTGGCCCCTTATCAGCCTCTCCTGCTGGCTTCCGGGCACAGCCCAAGGTTGGGGGGGCTGCCTTGAGTTGTCACCCTTGGCTCACCCTGCCTTGTGGGGCCCTGCCGGTAGGAGACAGCAAGGCTCAGGGGCCCAGTGAGGTCCCTCTTCTCAAACCCTCTCTGTCTGGGACCTGAGCTGTTGTCTGAAATGCAAGTGCTTTCTCTGTGGCTGTGCAACGTGTCCGCCACACCTGTGGCTGATAGGCAGTCCCTGCTGGAGCTCCCTCTGTGCCCTCTGGGCTGGAGGCACCGGGCGTCCCCTGTTCCCCTGTCTTCTCTTTGAGTGCTGCCTCAGGGAGCACCATGTGAGGGTGGGGTCAGGCTTCACCTGCAGCTGTGACCCTGAGGGCATTAGGGGGAGCCGCTGTTGGGGTGAGAGATGGGGTGAAGACCAGGCTGTGGCTCAGGCAACAGTAGCAGGAAGGATGTGGGCCTGAGATTGGGGCAGTGTGGCTGAGGGGATGGTGCCTTCTAGGGTAGAGGCACTTGGCATCTGGGGAGTAACCTGGCCTACCAGATCCAGGCCAGGGTCACGGGTGTGTGGATAATAGTTTTCTCCATAGGGTGGAGCCTGCTGATTTAGAACGGGCCGTGAGGAGGAAGGGAGCTGCTTCCCACTAGCTGCCTTCTTCTCTCCTGTCTCCTCCCCAGGGGTCTCCTGCAAGGAATTTGCTGTGACTGTGAGACCCACAGAAGCCAGTGAGCGGTGCCAGCTCCGGGGAGCCTATACGCTTAGGGCTGGGGTGAGCACCCTGGAGCTGTGGGGTGGCCCCGAGCCAGGCACCCAGTTGTATGAGTGGCCTTACAGGTTTCTGCGGCGCTTTGGGCGGGACAAGGTGAGTGAGGGGCTGTACTGGGGCAGGTTATGAGAAGGGAAGAGCTCAGCGGGGTGGTGGCGCATGCCTGTAATACCAGCTACTGAGAGAGCTGAGGTGGGAGGGCGGTGCCCAGCCTGGGCCACCCAGTGAGACCCTGTCTCAGAACACAATACTTTGCAAAGGGCTAGGGATGTAGATCAGCAGTAGAGCACTTGCCTAGCATACAGGAGGTGCACACAAAAAAAGAGCAAGCCAAGAAAAGTGGTCAGTGGGCTGGGGATGTAACTCAGTGGTTCCGCTGCCTGTCATAAGCACAGGTCCTGAGTTCAATCCCAGTACTAAAAAAAAAAACCATAAAAACGAAAGGTGGTCAGGGAGTGGCAGTGGGTATGAGAGAGGAGGAAGGAAGGCAGAGAGAAAGGAGGAAAACAGCAGAGGGAGCAGGAGTGAAAGCCACAAGACGTACTTGAGTCAGAAGGGAATAGAGCAGAAAGAATGAGGAGAGGTGGGGCCACTTGGGAGGGCGACAGTGGATGGGATGTTGGGGAGCAGGAACTGTGTGCCCAGCACTGTGCGTAGGTGAGAGGGAGGGAAATGAAGGCAGAAGAGAGGCAAAACATGGCCAAGAGAGCTCGGGGGCCACTCAGACAGTTCCTGGTGGAGGCCAGCTGGGCCCCAAGGCCTGCCTGTAATCCCTAGCTCCCCTCGCTCCAGGTGACCTTCTCCTTTGAGGCCGGCCGGCGCTGTGTGTCTGGAGAGGGAAACTTTGAGTTCGAGACCCGCCAAGGCAATGAGATCTTCCTGGCTCTGGAAGAGGCCATCGCTGCCCAGAAGAATACTGCCCCGCCTGGGCCCCCACTTGTGCCAGGCACAGCACCTGTAGGGGCCACCATGTTTTCCCGGCCCGAGAGCCCCTACTCCCAGCCCCACGACTCACTCCCACCGCAGCTGTCGCCCAGTGCTCGGGCACAGCCTGGCATACGGCCCCCTGAGGGCGAGTACGCCGTGCCCTTTGATGCGGTGGCCCGCTGTCTGAGCGAAAGGCTACCAGGCATCCTGGCAGGCCCTACCCCGCTCCCTGCAGACCCTTTGTATGACAGCATTGAGGAGCCCAGACCCCCCGCGCCCGACCACATATACGATGAGCCTGAGGGTGTGGCCACCCTGTCCCTGTATGACACCCCACAGGAGTCGCTGGGGCAGGCATGGAGGAGGAAGGCTACAGCAGATGGGGGCCCTGGTGTGCCCCAGAAGGACTTCTCTGTATCTTGCTGGCCACAGGGGACTGAGTACGACAATGTTGTACTTAAGAAAGCCCCCAAGTGAAGGGGCGTCAGGGAGATAGGACCATGTTGCCATGTACCATATGGAGGGGCCAGAGGCCAGGAGGAGGTGGTGTGGGGCGTTCTGCTGGGGAGTCTTCTGGCTACTGCCAGGGACCCCTCCCTTTGCCTCTTCCGGAGCCCCAGAGCCTGATGGACTGTCCCTCCCAGAGTCCTCTGGGTGAGTCACCAGCCCAGAGCAGGAAGCGTGCCTGAAGAGACCCACCCTCCTCCTACTTCTTTTCCACTTCCTCCTCTCTTTCCTGGCCCTAAAGGGAGCCTGGTCATTTAGGGCAGAAGACAAATCGTGTCCACAGGTCACCCTGGTTGATGTCCCCTTCTGGGAACAGCCCTGGTCTCAGGCCCTAGGAGGGTGGCTGCAGCTTTCTGCAGGTTTCAGATTTCTGTGTGGCATTAAAATGTTTCTGAAGTATTTCTGTGTGGCCTGAGTCCTGTGGTGTGGGGAGAAGGAATAAAGATAGGCAGAAAAGAAGGAGACAAGGAAAATTGTAATTTTTAAATTGTGCTTCGGAAAAGATTGCAACTTCAGAACGCAACTGGTTGTCCATATATGTATTCCAGGGCCTTATTTCCTCGACTTATTTCCTTCTTACGTCCAGGCCCATCACAGCCAAATCCCTTAAAGATACTGAAGTCCATACATTGTATTAGTAAAGCAAAGGGTACAAACCTGACCTTAAGAGAGAGAAACAGACTCAAGGGGCTCAAAGAATATTTTTAGGCAAAATGTCTTAGATCACTCATGCCTTTCTCCTGTTAAATGCGTCTTTCACCTGTGAATTGATTTCATGCATTGCCTAGATTCGCAAATCCCCCAGTTTCTACCCCCAAAACTTCATAAATCTTTCCAGCTCCAGACCATAATACTCTTCTCTCTTGAGGGCACACTGTATGAACTTCTTTAATCCCCCTTCATCCCCCTACAGTACTGGGAATTGAACTTGGGGCATACAGCCCTTTGAACTTTTTTTTTTTGAGACAGGTCTCTTAAACCCCTAAATTGCCCAGGCTGGGCTCAAATTTGCAGTTCTTGCTGGGATTACAGGCATTCGCCACCATACCTGGCTAAGTGTCTACAGTTTAATAAAACCTTTCTGTGCCTCTCACTAATGCATCCTGGCATTGGGCTGAACTGAGGTCAGGGGAACTCTGGGGATCCCATCCAAGGATGGGACAGATGCCCCAGCTGATCAGTGCAAGGTCCTTGCTGGGCCTAGCACTGTGAGGTAGCCTAGGCTGTGGGCATCCATCCACAGAGTCAGAAGCCTAAGGAGGTCATCAGGGTGCCCTAGGAAAGACATCTGTCTTAGTCTGTTTACTATTACTATAACCAAGTGCCACAGACTGAGTAGTTTATAAATAAAATAGAGATTAATTTAACTCCTAGTTCTGGAAGCTGGAGAGTCCAACAGAGTGGTGCTAGAAATGGCTCAGCATGTGGTGAGGGTCTTTTTAAAAAAACAAGGTCTTGTTACACAGTTCAAACTGGCTTTGAACTCACTAAGTAGCCCAGGCTGAACTTGTACTTGTGGGGATTCTCCTGCCTCATCCTCCCTATAGCTGGGATTACAGGTGTGCACCACCACACCCGGCTGAGGGTCTTCTTGCATGATAACATTATAGACAGCTAAATTAGGTAAAATATAATAGGTACTCAGAGAGTGCTGGGGCCGCAAGAGAGTCAGTGTGGAAGATAAGAACATTACAACTGTGTCCAGAGATACATTCACTGAAGGTCTGGCTTCCAGACGAGGAAAAATGACTGCAACCACATATTCCCCCTATGGATGAACAGCAGTGATCTATATTCTAAAGAGGCATCAATAACCTTGGGTGGGGGACCAAAGCTTCCCTAGCCCCATTCCTTCCCAGAAAGGAATGTCTGGTCCATGTATATGACCTGCTTCCCCATTTGATACCCATGTAATCAATATTATCTAAGTGACTGTATTCCAATCTTACTGATTGACCATAGTTTGGTCCCACTTTGTGATTTCCTGTTGGCTCAGTAACACCTAAGTGACCATACATACAACCTTATTGGTTGACTATAGTTTTGTCTGACCTTATACCCACCTCTCCTTGTGGCTTTGCTCTGTAAAACTTCCTGGAGAAGTGGGGTCCGAGGGCAACCCACTTTTCTGGTGTGTCCCCCCGCCAGCCGTCTCAGGTAGGAGCTGTACCTCTTTCTATCAATAAATATTCCTACTCTTAATCTCTGTTGTTCTTAGAATTCACTCTTTGATTTTAGAGAACACAAAAACCCTGTTATCTAACAGGGTGAGAGTTACAATATTTCCCTCATACTATTTGAAGTCTCTTTTTCATCCTTATACACCCTATATTGACGTGACTGAGGCTATCACACAATGAGACAAAGATAGCAACATGTCAGGGAGCAAAGCCATTGTCCGGATTACCTATCACGACGACAGGCTTAGTCCATTCAGGAAGGCAGAGTCCGAAGCCTCAGTTACTTCTCAGAGACCCTGTCTCTGAATGCCATTGATGTTCAAATTTGGGAATGAAGTTTGCAAGCAGTGAAAGTTGAACTAAAGTAGGAATGAAGACATAAAGACCACAAAGAGAATAACTAAAAATTGTACTTTTATTATTTATTTATTTATTTGCAGTACTGGGGATCAAACTCAGGACCTTGCCCTTTCAAGGCACAGCACCACTGAGCTAAATCCCCAGCCCTTAATTTTTTTAAATTTATTAAGTTTATTGGTGCATTTTAAGTATACATAATGATAACATTCATCACAGGGAATTCATACCTGTACATGATATATCTTCATTCTTATTTTTTACCATTCCCCTCTTTCCCTTCAACCCTTCTTTCTCTCCTTATTTACAAAGGCTTCATTTCCACTTTTTCCTCTCCCTTCCTTCCTTTCCCCCACCCCCTTTCCTAGTTCCCCTATCCGTTTGAACAAAAATTATACTTTTTTTTGAGACAGCATCTCACTATGTAATTGAGACTGCCCTGGAACTCACTATATAGCCCAGGCTGATCTCGAACTCACAGCGATCCTCCTGCCTCAGCTTCCCGAGTGCTGGGATTACAGGCATGCACCACCACGCCCAGCGCTAAAATTATACTTTTAAAAAGTCTGAAAATGCCAGGTATGGTAGTGCACGCCTCTGGAGTGCTGGGATTACAGGTGTGCACCACCATGCTGGGCACCTGACATGAGTTTGAGGCCAGCCTGGTCTACGTAGTCAGTTCAAGGCCAGCTTGAACTACATAATGAGACCCTATCTCAAAACCAAATCAAACCAGACCAAACCAGAGCAAAGGTCCTGGGTTCAATCCCCAGTACCTTAAAAAGAATGTAACGCCCAGCTCAAAAATTATACTTTTAAAAAGTCTGAAAATGCCAGGTATGGTAGTGCACGCCTCTGGAGTGCTGGGATTACAGGTGTGCACCACCATGCTGGGCACCTGACATGAGTTTGAGGCCAGCCTGGTCTACGTAGTCAGTTCAAGGCCAGCTTGAACTACATAATGAGACCCTATCTCAAAACCAAATCAAACCAGACCAAACCAGAGCAAAGGTCCTGGGTTCAATCCCCAGTACCTTAAAAAGAATGTACTGAGACAAGTGGCTTCTGCACAGAGTGGGATCTTATTGGTTGCGGACCCCAAAGAAGTTTCCAGAAGGATTCAAGGTTTGAGAGGAAGCTGAGCTCAGTTCCTGACATGCTGAGGCTAAGATTCTGCAATATTTACTGTCCAGCCAGAGCAGGACTGGAGCTAGCAAGGGCTTTCGAGCTGAGGAGGGAATGGACAGCAGACACTTAGATTCACATGGGCCCTCACCTAAGTCGGCCTGAGTTGGATTTGGAGCCGAATATACTGGAGGAAGTGGGCCAGGTGCCTTCCCGCCACTTTCCTCTGAGCCTGACGTCCACATCCAATCCCAACCTCAGGACCCTGGAGGCAGGAAGGCCCCATGCCGGGCCTTTCCCCTTCTCAGGCAGGGGTGGGAGCTGGGGCGAGTGGGTACCTTCGGCAAAGGAAGCCACATTTCCGGTTTCCTCAGGGGTCACATGAGGTGGCCATGCCAGCTCAGCCCAGCAGGGGGCAGTGTCAGCTTGCCTAAAAGGCCACCAGGGGCTTAGTGGCATCCGGCTAGGTTGGGGCCCTGGCCCTGAAGCAAGGACTTTATCACCTGAAGTAGTGGCAGTTTGAAGAATCTGCCTCTACAACTTGTCCCTTCAGACCCTTGAATCCCACTCTGGGACAGCGAACCTGCCACCCAGAGGGGAGGGTCCCAGACTGAACTCTGCCCCTCTCGGCCCTCCCTTACTTTCAAGGCTCAGGGGCATCTGGCTCTTCCAGAGGCTGGCCAGGCCTCACAAGAGGAAGCGGTAGGTGGCGCAGGAAAGATGGCATCTGGGGAAGTAGCTTTTGGGGAAGTTGGGAGGGGTCACAAAAGTATCAATGAAGCGTTGAGGGGACTCAGGGCCTCTCAGAAGGTGCGATGGGGGTGGAGGCGTCCTCCTTAGTGCAGCCTGCCTCAACCGTACCACTGTCATCTGCGACCTGCACATCATTCCTTCATTCAGCAAGTGCCACTAAGCGTCTCCCAGTTGCACTGGCATCTGGGGTTCCGGGGAGCTCCACAGAACCCACGTCTTGTAGATCCCGCAGTGGCCTCCTCAGACAGACACACAGAAAGAAGCAAGGCCACCAACTGTCCAGGTGAGGAAACAGACCTGCTCGAAGGGTGACAAAAGGTCAAGGGACAGTTCCACCCAGAGAATATCTCTGGGCTCCAGAGTCTGCTTTCTGGTAGCTTTGATGCCACGAGAAGTTTATAGACCAGGGCACTTTTCTTCGATTTTTATTTTTTATTAGCATATGTTTACAGGACATAGTGATTGCACTAATCATAGGGGAGTTTGTACATATACATGGCACACATAATTCTTTTTCTTTTTTAAATCTCCTCCTCTCTTCCATCTGTTGGTTCTCTTCCCTGTTGGAAAAGCATCTCCCTATTTCCTATTGTCTTTCATGTGAGTCTTTATTTATATTTTGGGTTTCTCTTATAAAAGAAATCATGTGATATTTAAGCTTGTATGTTTGATTTGTTTCACTCAACATCATGGTCTCAAGGTGCATCTATTTTCCCAGAAATGACTCAGGTTTATCCTTCTTCATGGCAGAGTCATACTGAAACACAGCACTTATAAGGAGGCTTTGTTTGCTAAGCACAGTCATGTGTGGCTAAATGAGGGGAACTTGTTCCAGGAAATTTGTCACTGGGTGTTTTCTTTGTGTGACCATCAAGGTATCAGTGACTACACACCTAGGCTGTATCATATAGATACACATAGGTACAGCGCACAAAGTGTCGCTCCGCTCCTAGGGTACAAA